AGAAAAGGAAATTCTGGCAGCTGTGTTCAACAAGAGCTGGAAGAAGCCCCTGTGGTCAAATTGGGCAGGCGATAGTGAGATGCCTTCCACACACTACAGAACACTTCTGAATTGCAGTTATGTTCTTTCACACAAGGATCTCATACAATGCCAGAAAGTTTTGTGAATAAAGATTATGGAAGCAATGGATGAAAGGAATCTTATATATGCTGTGTGTTTCTTCCAAAGAGGCATCTGCCATCCAGAAATGGATCAGTAGGACTGCTGTGTTATGTTGCTTGAAACCATATTGTCCTTCAAATACAGTCATGGTTGGTGGACTTGTTAACTGTGGCAAATTATGACTGAGCCCAGCTATTTGAATTTCATTGTTGGTGCAACATGTAAAACAGGAGAGGGAATTGTGAGGCTTTCCAGATGTTATTGGGCTGTAATTGCCTCAGCTAACATAACCAATGTAAACTGTGTAACAGTTTTCTGGAGTTTTTCCAAAATGTGAACAACTTCAAAATGTATAGGAGTAAAGTACTTTTGGACTACACTTTTTGCAGGCATGGAATTAATGGAATGTTTTAGTTTAGGATATTTTCATACCTCTATACCACTGTTTCTCAAACTTTGGTCCTCCAGATGTTTTGGATATCAACTCCCAGATGTCCCAGCCAGGATGGCCAACGCTGAGGAACTGTGCAAACTTAAGTCCCTAATACTTGGAGAGCTAAATGTTGAGAACATAAATCTATAGTAAGAAGCCGAGTACACAACAGTTCAAAACTATACATATATGACCTTAACATCATGATCTGGAAGATTAACAGTAGCCCATCTTAATTAACTAAAGTGTTTTATCAACCAATTTTTGTCTGTATCTCCTACATTCCAATTCCCCATGAACTAGCTTTTTGAAATCTCCACACATTCCTGGCTAAGTGTATGTTTAATGGTAACTTAGGAAACACTACCGTGAATCTGATGAAAAATGTAAAAAGCCATACCATAATACATTTGTTAGTCTTTAAAACTCAGAAAACTTTTTACTTCTCTTTAATCATTGCAGTTAAATCTTATAGCCCATGGAGACAGAATATACCTTTTTTGAAAAAATGTTGTTGTTGTATGACTGCAAATTGTTTCCAACTTATGGCAGCCCTATCATGGTGTTTTCTGGGGCTGGGAGTATGTGACTCATCCATGAGTTTCCATGGCTGAACAGAAGCAGAACCTTGCTCTCCAGAGTCCTAGTCCAAAGCTCAAACCACTACACCACTCTGCCTATCTTTTGAATAGGTCATATCTAAAGTCATTTTGCCAAATGACTGGGATACTGACCAAACAGCCAAATGCTAGAATGAAATAACAATGAAAACACATACTGATAGTCAGAAAGCATTATGTCACCAGGTTATGCCTCAACAAAATAAACACAGCCAATTGAAAATGGGAAAAAATGAAATCAAAACTACTTTAAGAATCAAATGTAAACCTAATATTATGAAAAGTGTGTGTGTGAGAGAGAGGGTGACATCTCAGTGGATGAACTTTTCTATCACTCAGAAGTTTAAATTCCAGCTCTTTTAAATAATTAAATTAACTATTGTGGCAGCTGCTATAGGTATCAATTAAGTATGAGATCACATGAATTACAGTCTCTCCCCCTTCCCTCAAATTGCAGCTTTTCTGCAGAAAATGTTAAATCTTATAACCAGTGAGTATTCTTGAAGTGCAGTTAGATATCTCTAGCCCCTACCATGTATGTGTGTGTATGCACACTCCTGTTTGTAGTTTTCCAAATACAACTCCCCAAATCTCCAACCAACACCACTGCTATGCTGGCTGGAGAACTCTGGGAAAGATAAAGATGGGGGGGGGGAATAGTTTTTCCAAGCTCTGATACACAGAAAATAGATCCAGAAAAGGTAGGGATACAATAACGAGAAAAACATTGCACCAGTCCACATTAAAGCCTATTTGTATGTCTTGTAGAGATTAGTCAAGTCCTTGCCCTTATAGATAGGAGTCAGAATTACCGTAGGTGGTATTTGACAGATAACATGCAGTAGTAAGCAGTAGGTGTCAAGAACTGCCAAATGACATGCACAAGTGGTCATTATCTTGGCAAATGGTACACAGTAGTAATCAATATTTGACAAGACCTGACAGCTAACATGCGGAAGCAATCAATATTGACATATGCAACAGATACATTCCAAAGAAATTTGCCTTAGAACTGCATACATTCAAAATGAAATGCTGCATTTTGGATTCTGGTTTAGTTCTTCATTCCTTCTTACCAAAAAAACCCACAACAATTCTCTATTTAAAGTTTTATGGATTTTGCAGTAATCTACATTTCTGATTTTAGAGGAATCAGAAGTATGAAAGACATCACTCAGTTAAAGACACAAATGCACCAATTCTATCAGTGTCTTTAATAATAATAAAAAAGATGCTAATAATTTAATTGTTACACTTTTCCTTACGATTAACACTAAATTGGGTCTCAGTAGTAAATTGGGGTTTTTCTAAGTTTAAATGAGAACAAAATACTTAAGAAATATTCTCTTTCTGTTATTTATGCATATAAATAACACACAATGTTCTCTGTTTTGAAAATGAATTTTTCAAATATATACCACCTGGAAAATGAAATATACTCATCCTTCCGCATTCAATGGGGTTAGGGGCACAGGACCCTGTCAATGTGGAAAAACTGCAAATAACAAAAACGCTGTTTTTCCCTGACAGAACACCTCTCTAGGAATCTCTAGGTCCTTCAGAGCAACTTCTGGATAGAGTTGATCATAGAGTTTTGCTGGAGGACCTAGATATTCCTAGAGAGAACATATTAATAAAATCTGTGAATAATCAAATCCACAAAAGTCAAAGCCACAAATGTGAAGGGATGAGTGTATAACCAGGATTTTCATATGGGGCACATAATTGATAGAACAAGAAAAAATGGTTCCTGTAATATTCAATGGATACAAAGAGGAGGCCAATATTTAATAATTATCTTGCACATGTGAATCCTGTACAGTAGCGCAATACAGTAGCGCAACA